AAGAGATAAAGATAAAAGAACTCAAACTGCAATTATACAAACACAACCATTACTGAATGGCCATCTTCTCTGCACGTCCATGAGCTTTCTTTCACAAAAGCAAAGGGGATAATTACACTATGGAAATCTAATAATTTTGATTTTGTTCTTTGAAATTATTGTCACATTTAGTACAAAGGCTTGAGGATTTCATTAACTTAACTACCAAGTCAGATACAAAAGTCCACATAAAAAATATCCTGATGGACAGAGTCCAACTGTACCATATTAAAATATAAGAGAGCTTCTAGTTCAGAACTCCTGCGAAACCTAAGCAGACAGGGGGGTGGCAGACAGACAAGACTAACAAGCAAAAAAAGAAATAAACCCAAACATTAAACACTTCTTTCAGGTATCACGAAACAGCTTTTAAATAAGCAGTAAACTCTGTAAATATCTATAGACAGCTGTCTCCGAAGGTGAGACAGGAAGTATTTTGTCAGAAATGTTTTGGACTAGGCTGGCATAGTCTCTGAAGTGTGCAATAGCTGTTTCTCAGAATAAGGCTTTTTTGAGAACTCCTGTAAGTTCAGACTTCTGAAGTCTTTTTTTTGTCTGCAAGGGTGGAGAAAGAGAATACTCTGGAGGAAAAGCAAGAGACATAATGGTACAAACAGCACGTATTTTCTTTTTTTTAGTCCAATATGCAGCCAGGTCTGGAGGAAGGCAGGTATTGCCAAGGACTGCGAGGATCACGCTGTTGAAAAGATGATTATGCAGCGAGAGTCGGTTGACTGAGCAGACAGAAAGATGCAGGTCTGTAACAAAAGAAAAGCAGCCAGAGAAAGATGCCCGAGATGTGAAGATCTGGAATAACAACCAAATTGTTCTAGTTACTGCCTTAAGGAACAGGAAGAACTGCAATGAAAAAGATTAAGAGCAGTATGCTGTCTTAAGTTAAAAACCAGGCATCTTTAAGAACGTGACATGTCAATGTTCCAGTACAAATTGCAAGGATCTATTCAGGAATGGAAATGTGACTCTTGGTGATGAGTATAAAGGTATCCATTGAACTGAAATCTACAAATGTGATTGTCCAGAAAGACAACGGATAATTACAGTTGTCAAATACATGGTCTGTGACCTCCTGGATCCCAGGACCCACTCCTAAGGAATGCTTAAGACATAGCTGCTGCCTTTTTCATTCAAGATAGTAAGAACCTGAACACTGAATTTGCTATATTAGGTGAAGAATGTGATAATCCACAAGACAAAGCGCTAATCCTATAAACTCATGCTGCCAGTTTGAATGTATTCATAAAACCTGATGAGTTAACCTCATACCAGAAGGCTTTCTACTAAATGAGGTACTGCCTGTTCTCCTGCAGTTGGCATAAATTCAGTCTTACATGCTTTAGCTAATTCAAGAGAAATGTACTTGCAAATCCACACCTGATCTGGATCACGTGTATATTAATGCAGTACACAGATCGATCGCAGAGAACTACCATCTCCCAACATGAGTAGAACTACATTCACTCTGCAAGCATCACTGGAATCTTTACTTGTTGAACACTAAAAGTTAAGATAAGGAGCTATGAAAGAGAAAAACAACTTGGGTCTACTGCTTCCTCTACTTGGAAGCCAGCCAAAATACACAATGCTTTTCAAAATCTCACTTGCACCAAGTATATGAGCTTACCTACAAGAAATGACAACAAATACCATAAGAATATTCAAACAATTAGGAACCAGAAGCTTAGGAACTATCAACTTGACACAAAATATTAAAGTGCTTAAGGAAAAGTACTTTTGTATGTTAAATTTTTAGTGTTGGACAATATACTAGAGTGCACTTATACTTTTTGTTGAGTTACCATGAAATTTAAGTATTTCTTTGTCACATATTGATTGAAAATAACTTTAAATGAAAGAAGCTCGCTTATTTAATGTTTTTTAAAAATAAAACCACCAAATTCCATGTATAAAGAAGTGTTTTCCATTTGTTTTACAAACTATATGCTCAAATTCAGCTTACTTCTAATAATGAGGATGGTGCTCAGAAATTTTCCAGAAAAGGTTCTCCTGCTGTTGGGAGCACACTGAAGTGCACGGACTTACAAGGTTAAAGTGTTGTTATACACGGATGGTGTTCCAAATCCAGTATTTTTATTCCAAATGACCTGCAGTCAAATTTGTACAAAATGATGCACCAATTTACTGATACAGCGAAAGAAGTGAGATAATCCAGGCCAACAATATTTTGCACAGCTGTGCAGTGTGTCTGCTTCTTCCTAGAGACACAACAACAAAACATAAATCTAACATGGATCAGTGATGTTGTTCATAAAGTCATGGTTTAGATACAGCAATGTCACATCTCTCAATTAAATCACCGCAACTTCCCATTTTAGAAAAACCTTTAGAAAAGCATATAATGGAACAAATTAAAGGCTAGAAATAGACTGACTTTATAAACACATCTTCCCTCAACTGAGCATTCTAGTTGAAGCTTCAGTAGGATCCTCTAATCACCAAACAAAAACATAGTTCTTAGAGATGCTGGAATAAATGTGCCTTGTTGGGTCAATAGGTATACAGCTACATGCTCTTTTTCTACGTAAGTGAAGTATTTTAGATGCCTCTCACACATTGCATTTCCCTGGCAGCAGACCACAATTTGTACTTTCATTTCAGTATCTTTTTAACAGAACAAGCCCATAAATAGATGCAGGAGTACAACCGATAAACTATGACATATGGGCTGAACAAGCAATTGGGAAAGTGAGCAGTGAGAAGACACTGACTCTAGTGGAAGTAACTTTAAATAGTTTTGCCAACGGATAAAGCATTCCTATAACATTTAAGAAATCTGACACAGTTGCAAGGAAAGTAACAGAAAAACGTTCATACACAAATGCATCCACAGGTGCATCACAAAACCTCACTCTGAGTTCAGTAAACATTTAGGTACTTTTGTGCAAATAATGACTTAAACACTGGTCCTAAAAGAAGTTAACCTCCTAGTTTTCACACCTCTTTTTAATAGGGGAGGCGGAAATATTAAACCAAGTGAAATACTGCTCAGAACACTATGAGAAAATACATGTAATTGAACATTTGTTCCATATGCTAAGATTTCATAGGATTCCAGCACAAAAATATACTTTCCTCAAAAGCTTTTAGGTATCAGAAACACAGAATTTACAAAATTAAAAACCAAAAGCTCATAACACAGGACTTTATACATTAAGAGAATTAAACAACTGAAAATAGTGACAAAAGTAATTCTCAAGTTTAAAGCATCTTTCTATTGATGTGGACTTTATCTGTACCCACCAAATATGATGAAAGATATGAAGATGACTACCAAATCACATGTACTAGAAGTTCCATACAGAACAGCAAAATACTGAAAAATTATCTTAAATGCCTTCCCAGAAGACACATAAAGCATTACTTTGCCACCTTTGAAAGAGACAGAAGCACCTTCTGCAGTACTGCTATTGATCACACAAGGGACAACCCTTCCATGGAACAATCTGAGCATTCCAAAAGTGTGCAGGACTAGGCACAGCATCCACCAAACACCTAACGCTCTCCAGAAAACAAACCAAAAAGAAAAGCTTTAATTGTTTCTTTCAGAAGTGACATTTTAAATCTATAAACACATTTCAGGACATTTGTTTTCCCATACTAGGTTTATTTCATCTCTTCACCTACACATTAAAATACTTCTGTTTCTTGTACCTTTCTGGACCTATTTTAGAATTCAATAACAGAAAGAAGCTATTTAAGAGGTCTACTACAATGTTTGTAGTGAATAGATCACCGTAGAAGAGCAATCTAGCAAAAACCAATGTCAAGGGGAGCAAGAAATTGGGCAGTTGTTTAAAAAGTTTGCCCAAAACTGTAGCTCTGGGAGGGAAAGGGCAGCACAAGGAAAGCTGCAACTCAACAGCTATTTAACTTTGGATTAGGAGTTACAGCTGGTCTGGTTTAGCTATATGGCACATGCTGCAAAACTCCCTACAACATTAGTACAATACAATTCTTGCAGCATTCAGCTGTCCACAAGTTGTACAGTAGTTTTAGTCCTGCACAAAGGTATTTCTAATAAAAACCTTCACTTCCTTTTTTCTTCTACATTTTTAAAAATAATCTTACTTACGTTTACACACATGCATATCACTTAAGATACACAAAAAAGCTAGCTTCAAGTACTTGCGAGCAAAACCGAAGAACACATGATAGCATATTACGTGAGTCACTACATTACGCATTTAGAACCCCCATCATGGTTGTACTTCCCGTTGTTAATACTTCAGCAACATAAGCAACTTCCACCAAAAAAAACAAACACCCCACAACGCAAAAACTTAAATAGCGCTTTGCCTTGTGTTCCTTTGATGCTTTCTGCACTTCATTCTCACAGCAACAGTTGAGGAGATGTTCAGGTCTAAAAGAAACCTTAAGAGCAAACATCCTCCAACCTAAAATTTCCTTCCTCTGCGCAGAAGTACACAGAATCGACGCCAAAATTTGAGACGTTTTCCCCCCTCCATATGGATGTTAGGGCTCGCTCTGAACAAGGGCCCCGGCACAAGCTATGCCGTGCCGCCTCCCCAGGACGGCCCCACCCCTAACCCTGCAAGAAGCCGAGGTGCCCACCTGCGCGAAGGGGCTGCTGTGCCTCCCCTCCCCCCGAAAACTTTTGAGGGGCCATAAGCACGTAACCCCACCAGGGCAGAGCGGCGCCCCCTCCGCCGCGTTACCGGAGGAAGGCATCCCCCTCCCAACCGCCCTCCACGCCCGAGGAGCGGGGCCCTCTGCGCGGCCATC